AGGTCTTTGTGGGAAGTGGCACGATAGGATGCAGCTGTGTCTATTACCCACTCTATACAGCTGTGGTCAGCCACGTAAAGGCAATCCTCCTCTTCACCAACTGCAAGAAGTATTCCATCAGTTATTGTGGCTGTCGTGTTCTCATCTCCCTTTGACTTACTACTTTGGCCTTTATCTTTCCGGCTTGGGCAGTTCTTTTTTATGTGACCCTCCTGGCCACAGTGAAAGTAAGTAAAGCTAGAGTTACCTTGACTTTTATTTTCTCTGGATTTACTCATGTTGTTCCATCTACCTCTACTCTTGCTTCCTCCTCTGCCTCTTCCTCTACATCTACCTCTGTCTCTGCTTCTATCTTCTGTGACAAGAGCATGGGACTGATTACCTCCCATGTCTTTCCTCCGTGTCTCTTCATTGTACATGGTGTCTGTGACCATGCTCATGGTCAACTTCCCCTCTGGTGCAGAGTTGCTAAGAGAAACCACCAACGTTTCTTAGTTATCCAGCAAGGAATTGAGTAGTAGTACGGCTTGCATTTCATCATCCAAGGGCATCTTAACGGTTGCAAGTTGATTCACCAGATTCTTAAATTCATTGGTGTACTCGGCGACAGACACATCATTCATCAACTTCAGATTTACAAGCCTTCTCATCACCAAGGCTTTGTTTCGAGTGGTCTTTGACTAGTACATTCCTTCTAACATTGTTCAGAGGACATATGCAGCTATCTCTTGGGCGACATGGTGGAACACACTGTGGTCTATCCATTGTCTGATACAACCGACAGTTTTCCAGTTCATCTTTATCCAGTCTTCATCCTTCACCTCTTCCGGTTTAACCCCTTTTAGAAAAATAGGGTTAAATAAGTCTTTATAGTATAGGATGTCTTCCATTCGCGACTTCCAGATTGCACAATTTGAAGGATTCAACTTGATCATGGATCCCGAAGTTAAAGTAGATTCTTCCATCGTCTTCTTACTTTTTACAGAAATTCTGAATCAAAAATCTAACCGTACAGATCTCTCTGGAATACTCCAAATAGTTGAAAACCACTATTGGATTGTCAAAATCGGACTTCAAATGGCTCAAATCTAGATAAAATAAGTTTGACAGTTCAGATCTGCAGGTATATTGCAGCCGCATAGCACCGGATAAATCCTCCGCCTCTATGTCGGGTCGGGTCAGCCGAATTGGTTGACCGGACAACACAGATGACGTAGACGACATGTGGGATGACGTGGCAGACACGTATAGATGACGTGACAGACACGTGGCACTAACGTAAACTACTTAGGTGGCGTGTGACATAGCGGTGACATCACGCGCACGCGCGCATCACTCTCCTTCTTCCTTCCTTCGCGCGTCAGGCGCATGTTTGCGACTGAGATGACGTGCCGGTGCTGTCGATGGCGCGTCTGGCGCGTGTCTGAGAATGAGCGTCACACGCTTTCTTCAGATGGCGCGTGAAGGCGCGTGAAGACTCTTCTTGGGCTCAGCTTTGCAGTTCTGGACTCCTCTCGACGAGAGCTTCCTTCTAGTATGCTGAAAAGTGAATTTCGAGCAACTTGATTTTTGGGCAATTTTGAAAAACACACCCTGTTTTTTCGAAAATCGACCAACGTCGCTCTGATACCACTTGTTAGGATTAAGGCACACCAAAAATCAATCACACACAATAACACAAGAGATTTACGTGATTCGACAATAGCCTACGTCCATGGGAGAGATATCTACTATAGAACTTTTTTCAATAGGGAGTTTTTAACACTCACACCTCACTCTCTCTCTTTATAGCACTCTCACTCTCTTACACTATCACGACCCAACCCCAGAGGCTTAAGGTTAGAATCGCAACTTACTAACTTATTATAATCATAGCAAATTAAACTGCGCAAGCGGAGGCAAACGGAAATAAAAATAATTAAACAGAAAGTTACTTCATCTTACTAAAAAAAAAAGAAAAGTACATCCATAAGCTTTTATTATTTTATTATGCAGCGACCGGCCATCAGAAAAAAACGATATGAAGAAAAGAAAAGAAAACAAATTAACGGATCTGCATCAATTTCTTGCACAGGTTCCACTTTAGGTTGCACGAAGCGGGAGCGGGAGTGGGAGTGGGGAATCGTAGTCATTTCAAGAATCGTTGGTAGGAAGCGTTTGTATATATATTAAATAATATAATATATATAAATATATTGTAAGATTATATTTTTTTTCTCCAATAATAATGAAAATATATGTTATAAATTTTAAAATATATATATATATATATATATGAAAAATAATATGTTAAAATATTATAATTATATACTTTTATTAGATTTTTTTCATTTATTTTAAAATATTTATATTATTTTTTTTATTTTATATAATATCTAATTAATTAAACACAACATAAAGAATTTAAAAATAAATAATAAATAAACATTATTTTAAACATTCATTTTTTGAGCTAGCCAACACAACATAATAAATTAGTTAGGTGGAATTTATATATATTTGTGCAATTACAACCAGCAAGGCAGATTTCATTAATTGTAAAAAGAGAAGGGTTAAATCAAAAGTCATTTTGTATAAATATGACATTAATACACAACTAGAATTAAATGAAAAATGTGTTAATTTATAATATAAAATCTATACTTATATAAATGAAAAATAAAAAATTTAAGTATTAAAAGAATTTTTAGTCTCAAACGGAGAGGGAGAGAGAGAGAGACGAAGAAGAAGCAGACGACGACGCCTGATGAGTAGAAGAAGACGCCTGCGAAGCAAAGAGCTTGAGAGATGAAGAATAAGAAGATGAAGATCAAAGCTTGAGAAGCAAATACATGGAAGAAGACAAAGCGATTTCCATTTTCGTAAGCGTTTCCATCCAGTTAGATCCGCGATTTTATATCAATGGGGACGCGATTCTAACACGATTCTTGCTATGAATCGATCAATCGTAATTCTAGACGAGAATCGTCTCCCCTTCCCACGATTCCTACTACTAAGGTTCCATTACATGAGATTATAGGTTTTCCTCACATCTCATCACCTGAAAAGGTAACAGCTATAAGCACACAACAGAGTGAGAAATATTATGCCACGGTACAGAACAGAACAGAGGTCAATGGATGGTAAAACATTTACATAAATAATCATGGATGGTAAAATAATCATAGTTAAGCCAAAACATTTACATAATTTAATTTGGTAAATAAACCATTTAAGTGACAGAAACTGAAATACATAAATTATATAAATAAATAATCATAACCACGGTACAGAACAGAACAGAACAAAAGTCACAGAAGTCACAGAAGTGACAATCAGAACAGAGGTCAATGGATCCATGACAAACTGAGAACCACAAAGTGGCCAAATAGAGGCCAATGGTTATTTAAGTCCCCCAAGGCATGGGACTCCCGTGGTGGTACTTACAAAACATAATTGTTTATAAGGTCATAGTCAAATATTCTTTAAAATTTAAACAAACATATCCGTGGGTTTTATTTTAAACAAATAGAGTTCAAAAATTAATCCACATAGTTGAAATATTAATATAACTTATAAAATATAACTTGTATAAAATAAATTATGGTAAGTCAAAACATATATAAAATATATTATAGTGACTCAAGGTATAATATAACTCACCTTAAGATTGAGTCTTACTAATTTCTTTCTATTTCCGTTGGCTTCTCGAGATTACTTCCTTCCTCCTTTCTGTCTCTTTCTTTTCTTTTCTACTCATTCTTTTGTATAATTCATAGCCCCACTCTCTCTTATATATACACAGCACCTGATGCCTAACAAATGGTGAGTCACTTCTTATAAGGCCTAGACAATGCAAGTGGCGTAACATCCTTCTCCTGGAGGATTTACAAATCTCCTTAATTAAATGCTCGTTAATTAACCTTATCACTTACTGTTTAGCTTATCACATATGGTATGCTTATGCTTATTATTATTATTATTATTATTATTATTATTATTATATATTATCACTAATAATATATTATCACACGCAACCATAATTAAATATAGCTATAAATATTTATGTAGTATTTAATTAAACGTTCAGGGTGTCATATACACAGATTATACACTTTGTGTTTGATGCCTCTGTCTGTGTGTCATTTCCCTTCCTCCTCACCTCAATTTATACAACAAAGAGAAGGAAACAAAATCAAGGAAATGAAATAATTGGGCTGCCAACTGCCCTCTTCCTTCTTGACTTGGAAACCCAACCTCCAACCTCCAACTACTCCATGTGGACTGGAGGTAACATGATCTCGTGGTTATATAGAATTGAAGGAATATATGTTTAGTAAAGATAAGATTTGTGAACCTTGATTTTATTTTTTTGAACTAGATTTGTGAACCTTGATTGATTTCCATAATATGTGCTCTAGTTTTATAAAAAAGAATTTCACCCGGATAATTGATAGAATCTCTTTGCTTTTTTTATTGGAAAATATTTCCAGTTTTTAAATATTGCTAGGTGCAGAGAAAACTAGTAGTTAATAATTACTAATCTTTTGGTAGCTTAGGATTAGAGTTTTCTAATGAATTAGTTATCTTTATTCTATTTTAATTATATTTCGGTATTTGGAAACAATGCAACATTATTTGCAAATTTTTAAAAATTAAACATCTGAGTTCCGACTTGATTGTTTGTGTTGAACTATATTGTGTGATTTGATAATGAATCTATGAAAAAAAAAAGTCCTCGGTGCATGAGCAATCACAAATGAACTCGTATAATTCCTAAAGAAGTTGTTGGGTATACCTCTTTATTAGAGTATGGGACCCAAATGGTTTATTAAAATATTTAATTTGGTTTGGTGTTAGTTATAATAACTAACTTTTGGAGGCCTAATGGATATTTTATAATCAATTTGATAGCAGCTAGAGTTCTGTTAAAAAGCCCAAGATTCAACAATATATTAATATATTTTTCTTTGTTCTTCAATATATCTGGTGACTATAATTGTTTTATCTCCTCGATGCAGTGGCTGCTATTATCACAAATTAATCAATTCGGTGGGTTTGTTCTGGGAGCACTGTTTTGGAGTTTTGTTGTTGACAACTTCAGCTCAGAAGGTGTTGGTTTGGATTCATTATTTTAGGTCTTTTACAATTTGTTTTGAAAAATTTTGTTCATCTATTTGGTAAAATCTTTCATTTTGATTATATGTAATTATTTGGAATCCACTTAAGGGTGGTTTTGTGAGACCATTCGTGTCTCGTGTGTAATTGTTTAGAACCTTTTTGGTTGATAGTGGAATCGCATTTCAATCCTGTGGACGTTTCTCACATTGAGGGAACCACGTAAAAAATCTTCTTTCATTATTAATTTAATTTTTCCACATTAGTTTTTATTCTCATTGCTTGATTTACTTGTGGGAAATCATATATTTTCCCTAACAACTGGCGTCAGAACTTACGATTTATTTGGGTTTATTTATTTGTATAAATCAATGAAGGGGAATGTGGAGTAGTATGTCTAGCTTCAATGGAAGTAATTGGGTAATTTGGAAAACTAAAATGGATGATCTTTTATTTTATAAAGATTTGTATGGACCTATTGAGGGTTATAGTGGCAAACCCGATTGTATGAAAGATGATGAATGGAATAGGTTTAATCAAAAAGTCGTTGGTGTTATCTGTCAATGGATTGATGACAGTGTGTTTTATCATGTTACTACTGAAACTTCAACACATGATTTATGGAAAAAAATTAGAAGGCCTTTTGACAGAAATCAGTCACAAATAAAGCCTTTTCTGTTTCGAAAGTTGGTTAATTTAAAATATATTTGAATGAAATAAAGATTATTGTTAACTAACTTATTTCTATAAAAATTGTTTTTGATAATGAGTTGCCGGCTGTGATGCTGCTTAATTCTCTACCCAAAAGTTGGGTGACTTTGGTTGTGACGATTAGTAATTTAGCACCCAATGAAATTGTCACAATGAGCCAAGTCATTTGTAGCTTATTGAATGAAGAAACTAGAAGAAAATCAACGGGTTTCTCTCATTCAAAAGCATTTGTTGTGAGAGGCCAAAGCAAAACAAGGGGGAGGAGTAAGACTCTTCATGATCATGATCAAAGTCGTGACAAATCAAGAGATGATTCTTTTTCAAAGAAAGACATTGACTGCCATTATTGCCATGAGAAATGACACATGAAGCGGGAATGTCGAAAGCTCAAGAACAAGGAGAAAATGCGTAACAAAAGTGTGGATAAGAAGCAAGAAGACACAATGGCGGTTACTACTGATGATCTCATGGTCTTTTGTGAAGATGATTGTATCAATTTTGTGGGCCAAGAGAGCAATTGGGAGATTGATTCCGGTACTTCTTTTCATGTAACTTCTCGAGTTGATTTCTTCACTACCTACACCAAAGGAGATTATGGTTGTGTCCGAATGGATAATGAAGGTTTATCCAAGATTATTGGCATGGATGATGTCTGCTTGGAAACAAATTTGGGCTGCAAGTTGTTGCTTAAAGATGTGAGGCATGTTCCCGACATTTGTCTCAATTTGATCTTTACCAGGAAGCTAGATGATGAAGGTTACAACAACAAATTTGGTGATAGAATATAAAAGCTCACAAAGGGTTCTTTGGTAGTGGCTAAGTGCAAGAAGATTCATATACTTTATTCGATGTCAGGAAAAATTTGTAAAAGTGTTGTCAATGCACTTGAAGATGATACTTTTATCGAATTGTGGCACAAACGGCTTGGACACATGAGTGAAAAGAGGTTACAAGTTTTGTTCAAGAAAGAACTTCTACCTGGTTTGAAAGGTACACATTTTAAAAGTTGTGTTCATTGTTTGGTAGGAAAACAACATAGAGTTTCTTTTCATAAAAATGTTGCTTCTAAAAAAGAAAATATTTTGGAGTTGATTCATTCAGATGTTTGTGGTCCTTTAAAAGTTAGAACACATAGTGGTGCACTTTATTTTGTTACTTTCATTGATGATTATTCAAGGAAACCTTGGACTTTTATACTAAAAACTAAAGATCAAGTTCTAGATGTATTTAAGCATTTTCAGGCCATAGTTGAAAGAGAAATATGACAGAAATTGAAGTGCATCCGATCAGACAATGGTGGTGAATACATTGGGTCATTTGATGAGTATTGTCGCAGTTAAGGTATTCGGCATCAAAAGTCAGTTAAAAAGACTCCTCAACAAAATGGCGTTGCCGAGAGGATGAACCACACCATTGTAGAAAGAACAAGGTGTCTGCTTTCACATGCTAAATTGATAAGATCCTTTTTGGGTGAGGCAATGAGGACAGCGGTTGACGTGATTAATTTGTCTCTTTCCTATCTTTTGAATGGGGATGTTCCAAAAAAAAATTGGACCGGCAAAGATATGTCTTATGAGCATTTGAGAGTGTTTGGTTACTGATCCTTTGTTCACATTCCAAAGGATGAAAGGTCCAAGCTTGATAGCAAGTCAAGACAATGCATTTTTCTTGGCTATGGGATGAATTTGGTTATAGATTGTGGGATTCAGTCGATAAGAAAGCCATTCAAAGCTGTGATGTTGGGTTTCTTGAAGACCAAACAATTGAAAACTTTGGCAAAGGTGATTAACCGAAGTCAAAAACTAGTGATATCATTGACATGGATCCATATCCTTCATCTTCAGTTGATGATGAAAATGGGGGAGATGTGCAACCACCTATTGAAGATGTGGAGGATGATGCTAATTCTAACGAAGTTGAGCTAGAAATTAAGAAGTGCATCCAACTTAAGAACCGTCACCACAACTTGAGTTGAGGAATTCTACAAGGGATCGACAACTTTCGAGAAAGTATCCTCCCAATGAATTTGTGTTGATTTCTGATCAAGAAGAGCCCAAGAGCTCCCAGGAAGCAATTGAGCATGCAAAAAAAAATGATTGGAAAAAGGCCATGGAAGAGGAGATGAATTCCTTACTTGAAAATCACACTTATGATTTAGTGAAGTTGCCTAAGAGGAGGAAAATTCTAAAGAATAAGTGGGTCTTCAAAATGAAGAATGATGATAAGAATTTGAGGTACAAGGCACGTCTTGTTGTGAAAGGCTTTGGACAAAAGAAAGGTATTGATTTTGATGCGATTTTCTCGTCGATTATGAAGATGTCTTTTATTCGGGTTGTACTTGGCATGACCGCAAGTATGAACCTTGAAATTGAGTAACTTGATGTGAAGACCTCATTTCTTCATGGTGACTTTAAAGAATAAATTTACATGGAGTAACTGGAAGGTTTTGTGGATAAAGGGAAAGGGAAAGAGAAATTTGTTTGCAAATTGAAGAAAATTTTGTATGGCCTCAAGCAAGCCTTGTGGCAATGGTACAAAAAAATTGAATCTTTCATGATGAATAATGATTTTTCTAAAACCATTTCAGACCACTGTGTGTTTGTGAAAAAAAATTTCGGATGGTAAATTTATTGTTCTTTTCCTTTATGTTGATGTAACAACCCCAACCTCTGATTAACGTTAATCCGTACTTAATTATGTCTAATGGTAATTTAGGAAGGATTTGGGATTAATTTGCATGTGTATTGCATTATTTTTGTGTTTCTATCTGTTTGCGATAAAATGACCTGTTCATGTCTTTGACTTTAAACTGCGAATTGAAAACCTTATCGGCAACCGATTCAGAAATTGATTAGTGTTTTATACTAGTAAGAATATATGTGATTCCATGGTAGGTTTAATTAAAATTTGATTTGGTATGATTAAATGAGAGTAAATAACGTTAAATTACATTAGTTAAGTTTATTACCAAATTGCCATTGAGTGGCCCATTACCTAAGGCAACCTTGAGACTGATACATACATTTGTTGCATCTTTTCATCATCCATTGAGAGACCAAACCGTGGGAGAGAGAGAGAGTAGGAGATAGGGAAAAACTTAGGCTCCGTTTGGTTTTTTTTAATGCAATCCTGACATACTAGAATAGAAAGACTTGTATCAAATAAAAGAATTTTTTTTTTTTAAATACAAGAAATGATTACATCATACACAGGAGACTTGATCAACATCCAAGCAAATTAACTCTATTTGGGTTGATTTTTAGAATTATTGTTTTTAAATAAAAAAATTATTTAAAAAATAAAAAAAACACTATCATTTTTATATGATTTCATCTGGAGGTAAAAATAATTCTTGAAAAAAATTGAAGGCTCTGTTTGGTAGAGCTTTGTAACTATGATTTGAGAATATGAGTTGTATTTTAAGTTTGTGTGTTTTAGAATTATGATTTGAGTGTAGAAAATTTGTTTGGTTATGATTTTTGAATAAAGTGTTGAATTGAGTGTAGAATTGAGTGTAGAATTGAGTTTTGAAAGTTTGATTGGACATGTGAAGTAAGAAAATTTGTTTGGTTATGAGTTTTGAAAAGTTTTCAAAACTCAATTCAAATTGTTATAACTCATAACAAAACACATTACTTTCACATTATTGAAAATTTTGGTCAACACTCATAACCAAACTCTTTTTAAAATTCAATTAAAAAAATTTATTATTAACAAAAAATAACATTAATCAATTTTTTAATTGAAAATACTACAAAGGAAATAATTTTTTTCAAAATAAATATTCAAGAAAATTAAATCATAAATATTTAAATAATTTAAATAATCTAAAAAATTTAGTAAGTAAAAAATTAAAATAAATATTCAAAAATTTTAAATCGTAAAAATTAAAATAATTTAAATATTTAAAAAATTAAAATAATTTAATATTTTAATATTTTAAATTTACAAACAAGGAAAATTTACCCATAAGTCCTAGTTTCTGAAAAGTTGAACCATTTAGTCCTAAAAGTTTTCTTACAACCCCAACCTCTGATTAACGTTAATCCGTACTTAATTATGTCTAATGGTAATTTAGGAAGGATTTGAGATTAATTTGCATGTGTATTGCATTATTTTTGTGTTTCTATCTATTTGCGATAAAATGACCTATTCATGTCTTTGACTTTAAACTGCGAATTGAAAACCTTATCGGCAACCGATTCAGAAATTGATTAGTGTTTTATACTAGTAAGAATATATGTGATTCCATGGTAGGTTTAATTAAAATTTGATTTGGTATG